AAGAAAAAGTACATACTTTTGAGTGTGTAGCAAAAGAGTAGGCAAGCTTTGGGACATACTACTTCGTCATCTTTAACGGACAGATCTGTCGCGTGCATCCTATCACCGTAAACTGCCCTGTCAATCATCTCGTCACAGTTAAAATCCTCCATTCAATCTAATATAACTTCTTACCATTTCGGAGAGAATTGTTGTCACACGTTCATCTGCCAGTCATGGGTCTTTCATGCGGAGACTCTCCTCATGTGTTTGGAATTTGAATATAATAATGCATTTAAAAGTTAATGGCTAAACGTATCTTTGCAAAAGTTCACAATGCTGCTGCAGATGCAATATAATGTGGACAACATTGAATAAATACATTTTCGTCAGGTTAGACACTGATAATTAATCACTCAAACCCCTTTATCTAAACCTCTCTACATAACCGTCGGACTCGCGCGTCCTCCATGTCTGTAGTTTTTGAACACTTTTCATTCGTGTTTGTAGTTCTAACCGAATCCTCATCCAACGCGCGATGGGTTGTGGGCAATATCAGCCGTTAGAGTGCGCATCGATCTGCACTTCGGATTCTGACCGGATATAGTAGACCATCCGGGTCTCTTTGGGACACTCATTTCAACATACTACGATTTGGGACGTACTAATTCTATTTTCGAATGCTATTTAGGACGGATAGTATGCGAATTGGGACGCAGCTAGCATCCGAGTCCGAACCACCACTAACTCCGCCTCCGTTTCCCTCGTAAGATGATATTAGTATTTAAACATTCTCTATGATAAAAAATGTTTGTAAAAAATATTTTAATAGCACGGTTTTGGCGGTTATAGAGTTCTAATGACGGTGTTCAACTATAACCGTCGGTCTCACGGTTATATAATAACCGTCACACCCCTATTGGTTACATAACACTTCCCTACTATTCGACTATGAGGTTCATAGTCGAATCAGACCTCTCCGAATCGAATCGTCGAATCCTCGACTATTAGAAGTCAGCCCTACATAACAGCAAAATGGTGTTCTACTAAGTATTAAAGATGCTTGCCAATTGCCATGAAGGGGTTGAAGAATTTTGAGACTGCAGAAGTCATTAAAAGTGTCATTTTCAGTTGAATTTGGGGAAACCACTTGAAACATTTGTTGTGTTGACCTATTTCAATTACTTTTGTTTGATTTGTTCATTGCAAACAGCTGAAAGTCTGTAAATTTTGCCAATAAACCTGATTTGCAATGGGGGTTGATTAATTTCGATTACAACTGTGTACTGTGGTTCAATTGATTCAAATCCTTAATTAAATGTGTTGCATTGACTAACAATTTTGTACTTTGAAGCACTAATTTTTGTTTTGTTTTAATGTTAAAAGAATTATTCTCAAAAAAATGAAATATCTATAATTGTCATTTACTCACCCTCATGTCATTCCAAACTTGTTTGACTTTCTTTCTAGTAGAAAATAACAAAATGTAAGAATTTTGCTTGTCGACCAAAATTTAAGTCGATAATAATCATCACCTCCAGTGAGCTGTTAATTTTTGTGAGAAAAATTCACAAAACATTTGTGAGAAAATCGAGCCGAGAGATCTCATAAAAAGCCAAGTGTCTCACAATCATAACAGACAGATATGCATTTGTATGCACTAGATTTGGTATTTGTTCAAAGGTTACATGCAATTTGTAGGATGGTTTGTATTTATTTGTGAAATATTATCTAGGCTCATTTATTTATATTTGCAAAACACAATGCATATGTGTTACTCCACTGCATTTTCGCTCAAATTGACCTTTGTACTTGCACATTGCTTTCTGTTTGTTTGCGAGTCAAGTTTTCCTTTGCAAAGCAGATCGAGTTTGTTTGCGAGTCGAATTTTCCTTTGCAAAGCAGATCGAGTTTGTTTGCAAAATGCTGGATTTGTTTGTTTAATTATGGCACAATATTAACTCCATATTGTTAACCACTGTGACCAGATCAGTGATTCAGTAAACTGATCTCAACAATTCAGAAGTTTTGACGTTTTTTTATGTTTTTGAAAGACTCTTACGCTGCATTTATTCGATTTTATACAGTCAAAACAGTAATATTGTGAAATACAGTATTATTACAATTTAAAATAAGTGGTTTCTATTTAAATATTTTTTTTTTACATTTATTCATGTGATGACAAACACATAAACAAAACATAATGTAAAGTCCAGGCCTGGTCCTCTTTCATCCTTCACTGTCGACGGTCCTCCTTTTATGCTTCCGTAGCTCCTCTGTGAGAGATACGAGGCCTGTGCGGCGCGCAGAGGTCACGCTCATTATCAGTCACGTCACCCGCACTGCTTGCCACAAGTATTAATTTCTTCTTCTTTTTTTTTTTTTTTTTTAATCTTACCCCAAACTTTTGAATAGCAGTGTAAGAAGAATAAATTGTTTGAACTTTCATGAATGTTCCAAGAAGATCTTCAGCGAATAGCTAATTAAATTTAAGATAGCTTTTTATTCAAACCTATAGAATTACTTGGAATGTCATATGTATCGCTTTTATGGTAATTTTGGGTTCCTTTTGAAAGCTTCGAAATCTCCGTCTCCGTTCAATGTAGTGACATGGAAAAGAGTGACCAGCACAGTTCTTCCAGATCCTCCTTTTATGTTCCACTGAAAAAAGAGTTTTGAACAACAGGAGTAAAAAATATTCCTGTTAGAGCACTGTAGAGTTCTTCTGTCACTATGTTATAATGAATTCATCTCTTGGCCTATAAAAATGTGGAGATGTGTTGGTCTGAGAGGATGTTTTCAGAGTACTAATGTAAAGTAGTGTTATGAAGGTTATGAGGATGAGGACGGTTGCTAGGTGATAAAATTGTTCTCTGCTAGTGTGAAAGAATAACACATCATAAATGTGTCAGTGCCTTGTTTCTGACATGTGATCGTTCAGTCACTTATCAGATCTCAATGAGACATTGTTCATTCACAGGAAGAGAGATCATGACAACAATGGTAATATTACTCAGTCACTGTCCACATGTAAAGATAGTCTGTGATGGTTTCTGTGAAGATGTTCTTGGGGAAAGTGCCAAGAATTAAATGTCAGCCAGTATAGGTGATGGATAACAGCCGTGACAATGTCACTATGTCAGCGGAGTTGGCAATGAATTGTGTTGGACTCTGTTTTAATGAGCATCCGGCCGTTTACTGCATACAGTGTTCTTATTTTCTTGGTCTTGCTGACTGCTTCGTAAACAGACATATCTACTTTTTAAGATGCTCCATTTTCACTTAAAGCTGCAGTCCGTAGCTTTTTTTGGGTTAAAAATGATCCAAAATACATATTTGAGAAAATACATAACCAGCCAGTGTTCAAAACTATCAGCTTGCCTTAGCTCGATTCAAAGCGTTAAGCTTGTAATAATGTTTTTAATTCCAGTGGTACTGGTGGATTTCCGCGGGAGATTCGAGCATGTCTTTGCGTCATTACGTCACATCTGTACACATAAAGAAGGAGTCTCGGCTAGTAGGCTATATTGCGTGTGAGGATGTTGGAGGTGGAGATTTATAGCCTTTTCTCACAGCACTTGATATAATTAAACTTATCAATTTGATGGCGGATCCAGAAAGGTTCAAACGACAATCACCAGTGACAACAGATTCACCCGCTGTAAAATGCAAAAGACTTCGTTCGGACTTCGGAGTGGCTACAGAAAAAAAGAGACTGCAACTGGACCCATGCGAAAACACGGATACATATCGGAAGGACATTACATGTAGTCACGCAATGCTTGCTTACGTTGTTAACATTAACAATTTGTAGTATAATTTGCACGGTTTTGCGTGATATGATAACTTATAAGCGATTGTTAGATTTAATCAGCGCGATTTACTGCAATGTCAGAACCAGAACAAAGGTGGATGTTTCTTACTAGTTCAGATGACATTTTCCGGTGAAAATTCTTATGTTGGTCATACTTCCAAAAAGAATAATCTGTGATTCTGAATGACAGTATCCACACCGGCGCGGTGACTGACAGCCACACACTCTCCTCAAACATTGTGTTCATCCGCGCTGTGCCGTGTCGAGGGTGTTGAAGTACAACTCACGTTAAGTTGATAATTCCGCGAATAACTGCAATTGCAGATTTCGAACAGAGATGGCGACAAAGAGGAAAAACGCTGGACTGCAGCTTTAAAGTTCTCAGAACCAACTCTGGGCAATGGGCAAAGGGAAAGTCAAACAGGCTGGGGTCGAAATCCAGATCAGTCCATCAGGATATATATTATCCAATCGTGAGGCGAGGTCAGACGAACAGAGAGATCAAACAAAAAGCCTACAGTATCAGAGAAATCCAAGCTCACCGTTTAGATCAGGTTGATAATCAGAATGGCAAGACAGTCCAAGCAGGCCAGCTGTGTACTGAGAATCCAGACTCCAAAACCAGAACCAGGTCAGATGGTCAAAACCAGGAGAACTGTCCAAGACCGGAGATTTTCTGGAGGCAAACAGGCAACCGCAGCACACCTGAGCAGAAGAGAAAAATCTAAGAAAAAGAAAAGCTAAACAAAACAAACAGGGATCCCATACTTAACAAAATAATGGGAAAATAGGCTGGAAACACAAAACAAACTGGCAGAGAATAGAGGGAAACAAAGGATATATAGCAGAGAAATCAAGAGACAAGGAGAAATTGCTGAGCGATCAGCTGAGCGCGGTCACACGTGGAAGAGACAGAAGCAAAACAAGAGAAAAGAGAACAAAAAAAGCGATCAAACCCTAATCTTGACAGAAAAGGGTCCAAAATGGGGTCTGAAATGCTTAAAATGAATTTTTTTCTTAACAAATAGGAAGTGAACAGAGGTACTAGGGAACAGATTTTCTAACAACTCTATCTTTCCTATCCTTCTGTCCAACATGCAGTATTTTGTGACAATATATAGGCTATGTATCTTGGTTAGGTGTATCTATATTTATATATAATTAATTATATATCTGTTATATGAAAACAGTATGTGTGTACGTACAGGTCCCTCAGGATGAATGGGGAGGGAGAGATGAGGAGATCCCATGCAGAAGGATGCGGAGCAGCAGTTATGTTAAAGCCATGGGCGATCAGGACAGCGGAGACTCTGACGGCAGCCCTAAAAACTCCCCGCAGAAAAGCGTGCGACCCGACGCGCTCGTCAAATCCGTGCTGCAGAGACAACTTTCAGACCAGAGGTAGGAACTTTGATCAGCCCATGAATCTCATTAGAAAGCCCATCTAATCAGAGATTAGAGTGATTAATGCACAAAGTGATAAAGTAGAAAACAGGCATGCAATCATTAACCAGTTATTTATCCCCAATCACAGAGGCCCACGTTCTGCGACATGTGAGATCCTTTTTGTTGAATATGCAAATTAGTTTTTATGAGCCATCATGAAAGATCTGCAGTCACATCACAGATTGAACATTATAGACTCTCGGTATGAAAACGGGACAGCCTGGTTTACCTCTTGAAACCGGCATTTAGCAATACCGGTACATTTGAGTGAAAAATTGAAGCAATTAAGATGACAAACACGCATATAATCATATAAGCTGCTGAAAGTGATTCAGTACACACTGACACCTGCTGCAACTGAACTCACTGCATCTGCGTTCTTCATTTTAAAAAGCAATGCTGTTTATTATAGAAAGCAAGTGTGAGTCAGACATCTCTGACTAAGGCAAGATCCTTCTACAGTCTGCTGGTCATGTCAGGCACTGAATATTGAATGCCAAATGCTAAATATACATCATAAATAAGCTAAACTTTCAGTAATATCTGGTAACAAAAAAGTCACAATCATTTTGTTTTACATGTTTAAATTTCAAGCACACTAAGAAGTTAAACTTTTGAATATTTTAGTAAACATTCCAGATATTGTACCATTTTCAGCCACCATTGAATTTTGGGATATTCCTGTTACACTGCATTCGCTCTCTCGCACAATACCACCTGGTGCCTTTGTTCTCCCCCAGACGTGAGGATTATTTTCTGCTCTGTATTACAGGGGCTGTACACCATTATGCAGAGCTCTGAAACATGATGTTATAAATTTGGCAAGACTGCCTCTCTCAAAGTACATCTAATGAAAGAGAGTGTAGCACATCAAATGAGCTCTTCCCTTGAGTAGGTGCATGGAACAGTGCATTCATCATGTATTATGAAAAAGTATATTTATACAGTATTAAGATTGTAAGGCGGCAGGGATTCCACATAAAGATGTGTCCCATTATATCTAGCTACAGTGTAAGTTAGCGTGACATTCAGGTAAGAAATTATTAACACTGGCTGCTTTTAAGCATTTCACAGTCCCTTTAATAAAAGTCGCCCTCATTCATTCTCAAGAGAGCTGTTTTTTGTTGCCATTTTAAGAAAAGAAGAAATGATTATCTTTATGGGTAAGATGATTCTTAAGTATAAAGTATAAAGATCTAAGTATAAAGTGTTCAAATCTGTCTTAAAGTCTCCATGTAGTAGTCAATAATTGTATCCCAAAATTACATATTTAAACGTTTTTTCCTTGATAAAAAATTCTTCATGCCTTAAAATAGCTTGAATGTAACTCAACACCCTTGCCTCATTTAGTATACGCGGTTCTATGGATATGCAAATTAGCCCTGTTTCCACTCACTCGCACCAGCTCAGAGATCCACTCGTTGACGATCACATGTTGACCTGATTGGTTACAAGGTAGTTTATGACGTCAGAAACACCAGTGATTTCAAAACTGTGTTTTTGAGACTGTCTTTGGTTCACTGCAGTTTTAAGGAGAAAATACTCAGTAATGGTGTTGACTTATGAATTTGCACATGGTTTGTCTGAAAGCTTTTTTAAAACATCACATAGACATATAAACAACATTAAAAGCTGGATTTTTTCCAGAGGGGGACTTTAAGTACGTGACTGTGATTTATGTTTAAACGTGTTGAAATGTAATCTCTACCAAGAAAAATATATTTATCTGTAAAACTTTCTTCATGCGCAGTGGAAAGCCAACCCAGTCAACCATTTGATCTCACAGTGATCTCACCATGAGCTCCCAGGATACTGATGTGATCACAATGTGAGGTCACAGCGAGTGAAAAGTATAACTTCACAGCGCACTCACTATGTGCTCAAACTGTGAACTTACAGGATACACTCATACTGTGGTCACAATGTGAGTTCACAGTGCACTCATGCTGTGTGCTCACCATATGAGACAACTGTGATATCATATCATTGTGTTAAACTCTCATTCTGTTAGTTTAGTGTGAGTTCACTGTGACCTAAATTTCTCTAATATTGGTCAGTTGTATCACAAACATCATGTAGAAGTTCATATTTTATTTCCATCAAGAAAGTATTTTAAAAATTCAGTTTCTTTGTTTATTTTGTATTATGTGTGGTTGTAAAGACAGACATATTGAAATATGATTACGTTAGTAATGTAGTCTAGTAATGATCTGATATAGGAGGCCTAACAATTTATAAATACTGATATGCAACCATAGACTGTAAAAAAAATATGGACGTAGTGTCCGTGACGTCACCCGTAGGTTTCTGAAGAGCGTTTTTGAAGCCTAAAGTGGGCGGGGCCGGCCGTCGCCATCTTGGCAGCGCGTCACCTTTCGTCACTACCATAAAATAAAATGGGCAAAGAGGCGGGACGTGGGTGGAGCTGAGGTGCTAATGCTATATGCTACTGGCCTCGCGCTAAAGTGACAGCTGATTGAAGAAGTAAAGCCAATAGTTAAAGTTCATTTTTTTGCCCTTCGAAATATTATAATAGTTAAAAGACGTAACTAAAAGTGAGACTGTGTATCGTGATGTATTATTATTCTGCTATAAAAATGTATTATCATGCAGTAACTTACAATATTGCTCTGAGCTTGTGCGTGTGACAGTGATTCATGCGCATACATGTCAGTCAGCATGGCATCGCACGTCAAGTTCGTAAAGAGCTTTATTCAGTCCATTTTAAAATCTGATTTTGGCCGCCTCTCAATTTCTCAAATGGGTTAAACCAAAGATATTACCTCAGAAGTTCAAGTAAATGCACTAGAAATCCGCGCTCATTCAAGGGTGTGCATCTACTGCATGGACGGAGAAAGCACTGACACCTGCAGGATTTCATCTGACGGTACTTTTTATTTAACACTAAAAAGTTAAATAAGCATATCTGTTCCGTGAGAGCATCAGTACCGCATAACGAGTGTGGTCTCTATATCTATAGACGTTTTTAGCAACGAAATTGTCCGACATCCATTAACGTTAGTGCATGCGAGGAAAACAACTGGAAATACAGCGCTCGACAACGACGGAATCCAACGGCGTGGGCGAAGGTATAATGCGTGTATTTAATTGTATGAAATAATCCCGAAAAAGGCACAAACGCGGCAGAGATGGCAAGTAAGTTACAGCAGCTGCTGGAATTAGCTGAGAGTGACGTTAACAGACAGCAGACAAACGGCCGCAATCCACCTGTCACTCAAGTGGCCACGCCCTTATTTATGCAGGCTTAAAAAATTCACCCCCCTCACAGTTGTCATGAAGGGCAAAATAAGCTATAAAGACCAAAACCACTTTTTGCTCCAGGCTGTAAACATGTTTTTTTCTGCTGTAAAGTTGGGCATTTTAACATGGGGGAGATGCAGATTTGACTCACTTTTGCAGCCTGTCTCAAGCGGTCAGTAGATGAATTGCAGTTTAATTCACTTCCGTGTTGGTTTCTAGAGAGACCAAGCGTGCTGCACACATAGACAGTATAAGAAGTGGACAGAGCCATCTCATTGGAACTCAGTTGAGACAGTTGAAGCCCATTTTTAGCGATTTTTGAGCACTTCCGTTCCTGACGCGCAGACTCAAACTGACTCAAACTAAGCTTGATGACGTGAGCAACCTGTCTGACAGACGTAAATCTTCTAGTAGCTGTGCGTGAAAATTGCCAACGTTAATCTTGCAGAGATGGGGAACTTGAGCAAAGAGTTCTTTGGCGTGAGTGAGCAGGAGTAAGTATTCCGTTGCTTTTATGGACTCATTATCTATGGGCTTCTCCCTTGACGGGACGTCCCCCCGATTGCCTGCGAGCTTCTCCTCCTGTCTGTACTGTAATTTCTGTACAGCGCGACAGAGAGTCGAGTGGTTATGACGCAATCGTTAGCCTATTTTTACAAAAACTGTTTCTACGGGGCCATAATGTAACATAGAAGGTAATGGAGCCCTTTATACATTGTCGTGTTTCTTTAGAAATAAATAATGGACAAATGGAGTCTTTAAACGCCTCAGATGTAAAGTTATTCGCTGTCACGCCAAAATGAATGGGAGTCAATGGAAATGCTAACGCAAGTGAAGTTCTGCTACAAGATGGCGGCACCCGGCCGGCTTCAACTTCCGGTCGATGGATTACCCCCTTGGCTGCACAAGCGATCGCCCCCCGGTGGCCGGTCCTAGTATAGGTCATAAACCCCCCCCCCCCCCCATGTTATTCAACAGCACGTGAGACCAACTAAACAATTAAATTACACTTCAAATATCGTTTTTACAAAGATGATTTCTGTCATTAACGGTAGTTTTTATCACGCTGATGTAATTTCAAGAGTTTGTTTTTAAAATAAGTTTGTTTTTAGTTAGTTATTTGATGCGGTGGTGTGACGTCATGATTGACAGCTGTGATTGACAGGTTCGTAGAGCGAAGTAGTCACTGAAGCACCAACAGACTTTTTTTCGGGATCTTCAGAGGACTGAGGAGATTGGAGCTTTAAATTTAATATATAAATTTCTATAATTATAAAAATAAGGCATCTGTGTCGCTTTTACAACATTTCAAATCCCTCAGTTCTTGCCATCTCTGAAAACCCAAGCCAATGTTGATTCTCATTTCTATTACAAGCTCTGTCACGTTCTCTTTTTGCCAGCAGACTCCCCTCCTCTTTTTTTTTTAAAAAACGGGTGATTCACCGGAGGTTAGAAATTTAGTGTGCTCCATATCAACCTTTCTCGCTCGTTGTGACAACCATGTCTACCTAAGTATACATATGTATGCAGTTACATTTGTATGCAATTTCCTGCAAAAACCATCCCGACAGGTCTAAAATATAAGATATATATTCACTTACCATAGTCATAGTGAAACATACAGTAAGACAAAAACACATTTTGGAAGAAGGATACAGTACTTGATGTATTGACTCATTATTTAAATTTAGTTA